TTCAAGCAGGGGGTGTCTGAGTGGCTGGGGGTGGGGTCCCAAGCTGAGGAGTGGGGGGGTTCTGGGCAGGGGCTGGGTTTCGTCTCTTCTGGGCACATTAGGCAAAGCCCAGATTCTGCACCCAAGGAGCCTTGGGGTTGGAGTGGTTAGACATGGTCCCTGTGTAGGAGAATCAGGTGCAGGACCCCTTGGGTGAGGGACCCTCAGCCCCAGGCAGCCCAGATGTCTCCCTGGCAGGGGTGCTTGGGTCTTGGGCAGACACTTTGCTGGCCTGGTGATGCCCCCCAGGCCGCCCGTGGACTTGAGACTTTGTGAGGGACCCAGATCTGGGCTCCCCACCCAGCACCTCCCTTGATTTCCCCTCTGCTCACAGTCAGGGGACCCCTCTGGGGCATAGTAACAGGTAGGACCTCCCTGACATGGCAGCCGTGGTGACTCTGGAGGCCCTGAGGACTGCTTGTCTGGCTAGCTCTGGGGCCCTCTGGAGTGTGGTGCCTTGCAGGGGAGGGGCTGAGAAACGGGGGTGGAGGGAACCCTCCACAGCCCAAAAGCCTCTGCCTCACACCATGTGGAGGCTGCCCTGCCCCAGGTGGCCGGGGGAGGTTGGAGAGCAATGGACCCAGGGGCCTAGTGTCCCCTCCTCTTGAAGGCTGAGCACCAGAGGCCACCACAGTGTCTCCTGAAACCCCAGGGAAACACTGGCCCTGTGGTAATGTGGGGTGGGCTGCCCCTGCTCTCTGGATTCTTGCAAGCCCTTAGGCTCCAGATGCCAGGTGGGGCCTGAACAATGTGGCCCCTCCCTCAGGAGCCACATCTGGGTGGAGGGAGCCTCCCCAGGCCCCAGGAATCCCTTCTCCACTGACGGTCAAGCTATGCCTCTCCAGAATCTGTGTGTCAGGGGTGTAGCTGGCAGGTTGGAGCTCTGGGTCTCCCCCCAGGCTGTGCCTGGGTCACGAGGAACTTGGGAGAATTGAATGAATAATTTAGTGAAGTTCAAAGACATTTCTGCAGAGGTCCCGCTGGAGGGCACTGCCCGGGCGGAGGAGAGTAGAGTTCACAGCCTCCACCTGGCTGCCAGTGAACCGCAGACCAGCCCCCTGGACATTCAGGACTGGCACCCATCGGACTGGCACCTGTCCCCCTGGGGGCTATTGGGGCACCAGTCATCTCTGGATGCTAGGGGAGAGCCCAGACTGGCAGCTCACCAGGACACAGGACGGGCCCCAAGGTCGCAGCCCGGACGCAGATTTTAGACGTCATCACCCCAATCCTCCTTACGTAAGTGGATCCAGTGCCAGATGTGGGGCAGCAGTGGGGGCCCTGGGGCCTGCGTGCAGATGCTCTTTCCTGGGTTCGGAGAGACCAGGAGCCCTAGGGAGGAGGACAGCCCCCACTTTCTGTGTTTTTGTGTTTTCCTTTTTTTGAGACTCAAAAACAAGTCAGAAAATCCACATGCAGAATAGATCACCCACATTCCCACCAAATTAACCATGACCACTCTTTTGGGCTACTTGCCTCCAGGTTTTTTTTTTTTTTATTGACATAAAATTTACCTACGACAAAATTTACCTGGTCTTAAGCCCTCAGGTCAGTGAGTTTTAACTAGATTCGACCCCAGACCCCTCCAGCCCCTCCAGCCTGTGGCTGGTTTCCTCCCAGGAGAGGGGCTTCCCCCACCCTGACCTTGGTCTGAGTGGAGCCCCTGGTTCACAACCTTTCTGTCCTGTTCTTCCACTGGATGTGGTGCAGTCAGCACCCACCATGACCATGTCTCCATCCGTAAGCAGTTTGTTGTGCTGAGTCACGTTCTTCTGTCCCAATAAACTAAAATGTGTCTGTGTCTCCGTCGCCTCCACCGGCCCGCGCAGGCAGGTCTCTCTGGGCGTCCGTTTCCTCTGTTAGTGTTGACTGTGTCTCATTTTCTGCGTCTTGTGATAACTTGACACCTGGTGCCTCCCAGACCCGCCTGGGAGGGTTGTTTTAACCCCATTTGTTGAAACACTGACCATTTCACAGTAAAATGCCTAAAAAGTTTCCTTGTATATTTTCCCTGCTTTTTAATGGGTTTTGGTCTGGGGTGAGCTACTCCATCAGGGCTAGAAGTAGGAAGCTGTATCTTGCCTTTTAACGCGATCATTTTAAGAGCTAACCCTCCCCACCACTTATTGTAATTTCTGCTCCACCTATATCTGGTTAGGTCGTCTCCCTTATTTTCATGTGTTCTGTCCCCTCCCACAGAAGAAAACTTGATCTCGTTGGCTAATCTTGCAGGTCATACATTCAGTCTTTTCCCTCCTGGTGGCTGCCCCTAATATAACAGTGTCTGTAGTCTTTGAGTTCTTCCCAGGTAGTGCTAGTGGTAAAGAACCCACCTACCAATGCTATGTAAGAAAAGTGGATTTGATCCCTGGGTTGGGAAGATCCCTTGGAGGAGGGCACAGCAACCTACTCCAGTATTCTTGCCTGGAGAATTCCGTGGACAGAGGAGACTGGTGGGTTACAGTCCATAAGATCACAAAGAGTTGGACATGACTGAAGTGACTTAGCACAGATGCAGGCATGTATATATTCTTTAAGACTTGATAAGATGGTATGGAAACTGTCTCCATCAGGCCTCCCACCTCCAGACAAAGCAAGCACCTCGCTGCCCCTCGGGGATTCTGGAGCAACTTGGAATCTAGTTCTAGGTCACTATGGACATGAGGGTCTGGAGAGGGCTTGATGGTTCCATGAACGGCAAACATCACTAGGGTTTTACTCAACCAGGTGTGTGTGCATGTTAAGTCACATGCATTCTAACTTGCTTCAGTCATGTTGACTCTTTGCAACCCTATAGACTGTAACCCGCCAGGCTCCTCTGTCCATGGGATTCTCCAGGTAAGAATACTGGAGTGGGTTGCCGTGCCCTCCTCCATGGGGAATCTTCCCGACCTAGGGATTGAACCCGCGTCTCTTACATCTCCAGCGTTGGTATGCAGGCTCTTTACCACTACCACCACCTGGGAAGCCCACTCACCAGGGGTTTCTGGTGTAGTGAGTCTAAGTGCTGATGATTTTCCCTTTCTGCTGAAAATGCCCCCAGCTGGGTTCAAAGGGATCCTGTGTGATGTGTGACCTGCCTTCTTAGGCTTGGGTCTCAGGATGTATTTTCATCCTATTCATTTCAGTAATAGTTCTGCCAGGTTTAAGATTCAAGCCTTTCCCTGCAACACTCTGAGGTCATTTTCTCTCATGTTCTGATGTCGAGCGGCTCTTGTCCTCTTGTAGAAAAGGGTTTAAAGACTTTCCCCACCATCTCTGTTTTTGCATCAGTGAATCTAAAGGCATATTTTAAAACCTGGTCCCATTTGGCCCTTTGAACCCTTCAGTCTGGGATTTTAAGTCTTCCTCTAATTCTCAAATCTTTAAAAAGCACCTATTTCAACAATCCGACCCCTCATAGACTCACTGCTTCCTCTGGGAGCCCCTCGTGTGGAGGCAACGCTTGCTTTTGCTATTTTATCTTTCCCGAGCCTCCTGGGTAGCCTCTCTAGTGATCTCTCAGCCTGTCTATGGTCAGGCTGTAATTACCAAACCTGCCTCACTGACTTTACTTCTCCTTTTATGTTTCCATGCTGTATTTCCTCAAGCCTGTTAATTTTGGCTCTGTGTTATTACTACCCATCCTTCCAACTCTTTGAAGATACTGTGGTTTTAAATTAAAGGACTAAACAGGGACTCACATTCCCCTTCTTCTCCCGAGTCCTGCTCGGCTCACATGTCATTTTTCTCCAGGTTACCTTGGCTTCCAAACCTGGAAATAGGCTATGAGTGTGGATGTGTGAGAGTGAGTGTATGCACACACAGGTAGGTGCAAGAGTGTGTGTGCAGAGGGGAGATTTGGGAGGAACTTTCACTGTCCTGTGAGGCTTCATGTCAGCCCTTGGTCAGGTCAAACTGTGAAGGGCCAGGGCCCAGCTCGTCTCTCTCCAGCCCCTGAACCCAGCCAGAGGTGATGCTGGTGGCCACCTGCGCTTTCATCTACAGGCCGTTCACATAGACATCAGGTCACGGCAGCCCGTGCTTGAACCCTGGGGGCTTCCAGACACTCTGAGGACAAGACTCAGACCCCTCCCTGCAGCACCCCCACTACGGTCAGTGGGTTGACCCCTGGCCCAGCCTGTCCTCAGTTTGCTGTCTCCTCCTGCCATTTCTGGGTTGGGCCCGGCCAGGCACAGACCCAGCCTGTTCAGGTGGGCGCCCCTGCCCAGAATGTTCCACAGTCTCCCCCTCCCAGCCTGTCTTGCTTCTGCCCCCATGTCACCTTGGAGCCCTTACCGGCGCCCCCCAAACTCTTCCTAGTGTTCAGAGAGCTACTGATTGGGCCACAGCAGGTGCCACCCCAGGGCCCATGGCTGGCGGGCTTCCCCGGCGGAGGGGGAGCCGAGGGATGTGGTCACTGCACAGGCTGTGGTGCCCAGGTTGGTCGAGGCAAGAAGCACTGGGCAGTGACAAGGTAAGGGGCCAGCAGGTTGGGGTTCCATGAGGACTGAGCACTTGGGGGTGAGCCAGACATTACTAGAGAGGCCACTACGAGGGAGGTAGGGAGCCCCTGGCTGGGCCCAGGCTGAGAGCTCTGAGCGGGGCCTGATCCCTAGAGGGATGGGGCTGTGGGTACCAGGGCCTGGAGGCTTCAGTGGCCTCACAGGAAGAAGCTGGTGAGGGAGACCATGGTGGGGGGATCCTCACGAACAGGGACAAAAGGCGGCCTCTCTCTGAGAGGCGCGTGGGGGAGGGAATCGGGGACTCCACTTGGTGGGGGAAGGGGCGGATGGGGGGGTCCCCGGCAATGAGCAGCCACCTCCCTTGACAAGCAGGCATGTTTATCTGAACAGGAAATGCACAGAGGGGAGGTTTCCAGGCCCAGTCTCTGCCGCTTCTCCCTGCACCTCCGGACCCTCTTCTCCAGCTGCTCTGGGGGTCGGATGTCGGGTGTCCAGGATCCAGGGGCACATGCGGGCTCACTCGAGGCAGCAGGGGGACCGTCCTGCAGAAGAAGAGGCTGGACGGGTCTGGTGGACAGCTGACATCATCAGGACATGATGCTACGTGCACCAGGCCCCCGGGTCCCAGTAGGACAGTGAGCCCTCTATCTGAACCTACTCCTCTGGGCACTTACCCTTGGGCCCCCAGCCCCAATATGCCAGCCTGGCCAGGTGTCCCCGGAGTGCTGAGCCCCATGAGGCACCCACCTGCAGACCTGCTGGGCTCCCCTGGGGCCCATGGGCCCCCACAGGCCGGGCTGCCCACGCCTCTGCCCGCCCTGTCTGATTGAGGGCTCCAGGCTCCGCCAAGGGGTAGGAGGATGTGCCTGAGTGAGGGGAGCAGGTGGCACTGCCTTCCTTTCTCAGGGGCCCTGCTCTGACCCAGGGAAGGTGGGTCCTGAACCCCCTGGGGCCAGGAGGCATCAGGTCCAGCCCCCAAGTTGAGGCTGAAAGTTTAGGGCTGGTGGTCCCTGACCTCAGACAGGCACTGATCCTTGTTTCATCTCAAAGGCTGAGGTTTAGCATGGTGGGGGGTGAGGGAGGGAGCTGGGGAGGGCGTCATGACAGCACCTGCCAGCCTTGCCTGGACAGTGGGTACAAACTAGGGAGGCGCGTACGGCAAAGGCTGTGTCTGGGGGACTGTGGTGGGTGCTGGGGGGCAGGGACCCCTCTCTTTCCACAAATGTGTGGGCCTGGGCAAGGTGCTGTGGGTGGGTCCCTTCCCCCTCCCCTGTCCTCCCTCACCCACCTAGGTGCAGAACTGTCCCCCAGCCAGCCTCAGCCCCACCCCCACCCATCTTCTTCTTCAAGACTGTGAGCTCATCTCCCCTCATCAGCCCATCCATCCATCTCAGCATCTGAGCCGTGAGCAGCCGCAGCCCTGTCACAGGGACGGATCATGACAAGGTCACTGGACCAAGCCTCCCACTGTGTCCCAGCAAGGAGAGAGGGAAGGAGTGAGGGGAGGGGGAAGAGGTGGAGGAGGGGGAGGGGCGGGGCAGGGGGGAGGAGAAAGGGGACTCTAAGCTCAAGGTTTCTGGGAGGTTGGGGAAGGGGAATTTGGGAGACCCTAGGCAGCCAGGCAGCCCCAGGTCTGTATGGGCTGAGAGGGCCTGTCCCCCAACCCGTGGCCAGTCCACTCAGAGCATGTAGCCCCAGGGTTGGGGAAGACCGCTCCCTCAGGGGCCAGTACCTCTGTCCCCAGGGCGGGGGCCACCATGCCCCACTTCTCCAGGGAGCCGGGACTTGCTGCTCGTGCCAAGGGCCCTGGGGGCCTCCAAGATGGGCATGGGGGGCCGGGTGCTCTCGTGGGTGCAGGCATGGAGCTTCAGCACGTGCGCTGGGGTTGGGGGGGAGATGTCAGTGGGGGTGGGGAGAGCCTGCCTTGCTCCCTGCCTTGCCCGGAGGCAGCGGCCCAGGAGAACTGCTCGAGGCTGGGGCGCCAATGACCCAGTGTGGGGCTCCCTTCCCTCCAGTGTGAAGACAGGGGCACTGGGCACCACAGGAGGCGGGGCAACTCACCCTGGATGGCGGACTCGCAGGCCTGGCCCACGAGCTGGTAGATGGTGGCCAAGGACTGTGGCTCTCCCTGCAAGAGAGGACAGGCCACGTGGCTGACGGCTCAGGCAGCGTGGGGGTCAGTGCCTCCCTGTGCTCCCCCAGGGTCGGCCCGGACCCTGGACTCTGCACACTCACCTTCTCTCCTCGCTCCCCCTTGGGCCCCGGCAGCCCCTGAGTGGGAGGAAAAGGAGAAGTGCCTGGACCCCGAAGCTGCCCAGAGACCCAGGAGTACCCAGAGAGCAGAGGACCCACCTCTGCTGCTGCAAAAGGGAGACAGCCGGCCGACTCAGGCTTCCCTGTCCCCAGGCCCCACCCAGCCTGCAGGCTCAGGTCTTCTGCCACCCTGACCCCTGGAGCCCAAGCGGGGAAGCCCCAACCCTGCCTGTCCCCCACTTCTGTCTCGGGCTTGGCAAGGGGGCAGTCCAGGGCTCCTTCTTTGTCAGCCTCGCTTTAAAAATGTGCCAGCTGCTGGGCACCCCTGGGCATCAGCACACACTACTGGCCCCCCTGGCTGTCGGGATGGGTGGGGAGGAGACTTACTGTGGGCCCCACGGCCCCCGGGGGGCCCCGCTCGCCGTTGCTGCCCCTGGCCCCCGCAGTACCTTGGAAGCCCTATGAAGGTGGGAGGTTGGGTTTGGTGGCTGCCCCCCAGGGGTGGCCTCTCCCTCCGAGTGCCCCCACCCTGGACCAAGATCAGGCTCCTCAGCTTGTCCCCAGCCTCGCACCAGCTGAGCCCCACACCCACCCAGCAGGCCCTGCTTTCCTCACCCACCCAGGGCAGCCCCGGCCCACCCTGACCACTGGCACTGGTTCTATAGGAATACATCCCAGTTGTCCAGGTGTGACTGCAGGCTGGGCCTCCCAGGGTGGCCTTGTGCAGGAGGGGCAGCTTGGCCTCCCCGGCATCCAGTGAGGCTGAGCCCAGGAGACCTTGGCCGGGTCTAGGCTGCTGGCCCCAGCCTCCCACCCAGAGCAGCTCCCCGCTCTGAGTTCAGCTAGGACCTCTGGGAACACTGGGCTGGGAGGAAGCTACTTCTGAGTGAGGGGGATGCCCTCTCCCTCTGGTGGGAAGGGAGCCAGACCCACCCGTTTGCCCTGCCCAGGCCCAACCAGGGGCTCAGGCACCTTCCTGCTGTGTGCAGTCAGGGTGCAGGCGAGGCTGGGGGCTGCACAAATGCAGCATTTCCTACCAACCTCCCTGGTGGGGTAAGATTGGGGGGGGGGTGCTACCTCTGTGCTCCTGATCGCAGGACGTTTACATGCCACTGCAGTCTAAGTCCCTGCCGCAGCCCAGGAGAGAGAGGCCTCCTTGGGTCACCATATTCAGCTCAGCCTCAAGGAAACTTGAGGGACGCCAGTGGGGTGGGCAGGGCTGGGGGGCTCACGGAGGAGGCAGTGCTTACCCTAGGGCCTGGGGGGCCAGGCAGTCCAGCAGTCCCCTCCAGGCCTCTCATTCCCTGAGGGCAAAGGAAGGGTGGGTGGGGGCGAGGCAGGTACTACTGCAAGCCCCTCCCATGATGACCCCCAAGACCCACAGCTGTGGGGGGTACATGCCTGTGCCTGGCTGAAGCTGGCCCATCTCAGGGCCTGGCCCCGCCCTGGGCAGTTACCGCACCTGTCCCAGGTCAGTATTGACTGACACTCCCCTCCCCACTGGCCAGGCCATGCAGAAGGCAGGCCTGTGAGGACCTGGGTGGGGCAGAGAAGGAAGCCCCCGCTGCCTCCATCTCAAGACCCTCCAGCCAAGCTTCTCTCCCACCTTTGGTCCCTGAACTCCAACCTTCCCGGGGGTGCCCTGGAGGCCGGGGTGGCCCTGAAATAGAACAGAGGTGATCGGCCAGGCTGGGGCTGAGGTCCAACCCAGAGGAGGAGGCTCTGTCCTGAGCACACGGCCCTCGCGTCCCCACTGTGGTCTGACCTGCAAGCCGGGGTGTCCATGGTCCCCCTTCTCTCCTTTGACCCCTGGTGGACCCTGGAGGGGGAAGATGGACTGGGCGGGAAGGCGAGGGGAGGGAGTGGGAGGACAGGGCGAGGGGAGGCAGCACCTACCACGGGTCCCTGGATGGTGCGGCCCTGGGTGCCCGGTGACCCCTGTTGACCCCCAGGGCCCTCGGGTCCCATCTGTCCAGGTGGCCCGGGCTCTCCCTGGAGACACAGGGGTGGGGGGCTGAGGAGGCACGTGGCTGTTCCTGCAGCCCCTCCTTTGATCCTGCCCTGGGTTGGGGGGTGCAGACCTGCCTGCACACAGGCATCTTCATCCTCACGGCCCACCCTGAGAGGGTCCTGCTGCAACCACGCTCTAAAGATAGGAGCTGGGCCAGCTCTGACAGTCCAGTCCCAGAGCTCTGAACCCCAGACACCGGATCATCCTACCAAACCTCTAAGGGACAGAGGACACCAGTACCATTTAAATGGCTTGATTTGCAGCTTTTTTTTTAAAGGATGCTTTCAAATAATTGTGAGTTAAAGCATATCAATGCACCAGATTCTATAAAGAAAACCACAGGTATTCCCATTTGCGAATATCAATGTGAAAATACTAAATAAAACATGAGCACACAGAAGCCTGTAACCTGTTAAATGAGTGGTGAGGGCTCAGTGAGCATGCCAGCTTCTAGCAGGAGCAGGAAGAGTTCAGCATTCGAGAGAGATTAAATCATTCACCAAACTAATAGCTCCAAGAAGGAAAACGATTTGCTTGTGTTCAGAGCAGCTGATGAGGCACTAAATCTTATTTAACACCCATTCTTGATTTTTAAAGTCTCCTAATAAAATAAGGTTAGGATTTGACTATCACATGACAAAATCCATCTGTCTCAGCTCCCAGGCCTGCCCCACACTCAACGGGCAAACCCCAGAAGCATTTCTGTGAAGCCAACGTGGACATGTCTGGTATCACCGAGGTTCTTTAACAAACTCTGGAGTGTCACACCAGAGAAATAAGCAAGAAAAATTTTTTTCAAAGGGAAAATTGAAAAGCAGACAGTGATATGATTTTTCACAGGTGCTGTAAATAAAAACCAGGAAAGTCCAAGGAAACCATATGAAACTAAAAAACAATTGCAAATAAGATAATTGAGTACAAAATGGGGCCCAAAAACAATACACAGAGAGGACAGGGGGTTTAGGGGAGAGGATGTGGAGCTGGACACCGGGACCCATCCCCGCCTAGACAGCGGCTGTTCCTGGGTCTGAAGAGCCTTTGGACTCTGGACTCCGTGCAAAGCTGGTGATGTGATTAGACCGCATTTGAAGTGGCAGGGGGTGTGGGGGACTGGATACTCAATAAATAGAGGAACGAGGGGCAGCAGTCTGGGGAGGAAGGAGGAACCACAGTTCTGGGCTGGAAGGTTTTAGAAGCACTTTGAGGCCCATGAGGAGGTGGTCCTCGCAGGCTAAGGAAGGCCTTTAGATACAAAGCGAGTCAGGAGCCGTGGAGACAGACCCACACAGCTGACAAGACAGAGGGGATCCTAAATCTGCCTGCCACACATATCATAAGCCAGGTCAGGAGACCACAACTCAGTACACTAGTCACAGCTCAGGGCACAGGGTTCCCATAAAACCTAGAGCCCCTCGAATGAAGGAGAAAAGATAAGCCAGTCGAACGGGGCTGGAAGACATGCATCCAACAACGATATGCTAGCAACTTCCAAGGGGGTGGAGCTGCTAATGGTAGAAACACAGGGGAAGGCAGAGCACACATGGCCCTGCCAGGCACCCAAGACTGCCCGTCACACGGTGCCCAGACTGGGTCCCCCTCCTGCCTAGGGTTGGATTGCTGGGGGCTCACTCCTGCACCCACCCCCAGGATGCCCCATGACTCACCCTGGGCCCTGGGAAGCCTTGCTCTCCTGGGGCTCCGTTCCTCCCAGGGAGGCCCTGCAGAGGCACAAGCAAGGCTAAGGCCGAGCTGCACATTGGCCCCCGTGGCAGTGCCCTGGACTCCAGTCCCCATCTTCATGGTAGAAGAGGGAGGGACTCCGGGGGCCAGTGCCTCCTGGCCCGCCTCCCCCACAGTCACTGGTTACAACACACATGGGCTCATGGCTTCCAGCCCTGGCCCCTCCCTGGAGAGGTCTGTGGACCACCAGCCGAAATGGGTCCTGCACCCTCCAGGCAACCAGAGGGTCTGGACCTGCCCCACAGTGGGGCCCAGGCCTGGAGCTATGACTCATGGCCAGGCCATGACCAACACCATGATGCAGCCTGATGGGCTGGGCTCCCACCCCCGGGGGGAACATGTGGGCTCCAACACCAGAGAGGAGCTGGCTCAGGAGAAGGCTGCAGTGGGAAGTAAGGGGCTTCCAGGAGGGAACTCAAGGGCCAGGGGTGGACGAGGCAGCCAGGACACTCATGAACTCTGGCCATCAGTGAGGCAGGCCCAGGGACATCTTTGGGGCTTGGGGAGGGGGCCATATCCATCACCACTGGCAGCAAAATGTTGCTGGAGTCCCTGGTTACCCCAGGAAGGAAGTGCTGGACTCACCGGAGGTCCTTGGGGGCCTGGGGGCCCAGGGGTCTTCGAGGAACATGCACAGGCAGATGGGAAGGCAGGGCAGGACTCTCCCTCCTTCTGGGAGAAAGGAGACCCCCGCCATTAAATGCACCCCCTCCTTGGCTCTTGTTTAACCCCACAGCTCAGCATCTGCACTGACACCAGGGTCCAGGGAGGCGAGGGGTAAAGGGTGGAGACCTGGTCCTGGCTGCCACCTTCCTGGCTGCCTGGTACAAGCCAGTTGACAGGATGCCGTCCCTCGCTCCCATGCAAGCCCCCGACAGGGCCAAGCCCAGTGTGGACACACAGGGGAGTCAGTGAGGACCCCTACCTGTACCTGAGCCCACAGAAAAGGGTAGTGGCCCTGAGTACATGGCAGCAGCCACCCCGGAGCTGGGGGCTGCCTGGCCTGCTCTAGCTCTCCTTGCCCCAGGCCTTCCAGGACACCCATCCAGCCACCCTGGGCTCCAGCTCTGGCCCTGTGGGGTCTCACCTCCTCCAGGAAGCCTGCCTGGATTTCTTCCAGAGTGGCGATGACCTAGATGGCTTGTCTACCCCCAGACTCTTGCCCTCAGTGGGCACTTGGCCACCTACCGATGCTGGGAGTTCGCAGCACCTGTCCTCCTCTGCCCAGGAATCATTGCACACAATCTGTAGCACCTGGAGCTGGAACTTCAGAGAGGAAGAGAGAGGGGTGGGGTTGGTCAGGTGTGGCTGGCACAGGGGGTGGGAGGGGCCCACCAGCCCCAGCTGGTCTGGCTCACCGAGGCTGAACTGCTCCGGGGGCCCCGGGCTTTGGCCAACCTCCCCAGCATGACGAAGCCAGCAGCGGGCAGGCTGCCGGCCTCCCCAATGGGCCTCTCAGCCACCTTCCGGCAGTCCACGTAGAGTCTGACCTTGGAGCGGCCCACGGCCACATGCACCTGGGAGACAGCAGGAGGTTCCCTGGGGCACCAGCCAGGATGGGCTCCCTCCATGCCCACGGGCCAGGGCCAGAGCAGGGAGGGGCAGGGACCATTCCTGGGGCTGGCGTCCGGATCCTGACCACTCCACATCTCCTGAAACCCCTCACAGGGCCTCAGTTTCCTTCCGTACAATGACACCCCAATGGCCCCTTCCAGGGGCTGTGGGACCAGGAGCAAGGGCTGGATGCTCTCTGACCCAGATTAAGGTGGGGGCATCCAGGGCAGAGGAAAGTTCCTGCGTTCTGGGGGATGCCATGGTGACAGGGCAGCCTGTGTCCTGCAGAGCCCAATGGGGCTCAGTCCCAGAACCTGGGAGCATAGAGGGTCTCAGGCAGGGAGGCATGAGCTGTAGTCCTTTCAGGACTTTCCAGTACCTTGTGGAAACTCCCAAAGAATATCCTCCTCACTTCGGGCAGGTCGAAGGTGACCTCCTGCAAGGTGGCCCTGGGGTCACGGTTGAAGTAGGTCAGCGACTTCCTGCCAGCTGGGGGACGGGGCAAGGATCACATGAGACCCCTACGTGGAAGGCGGGAGGGGACCCCCCAGAGCATCACCTGGCCTACTGCTGCCCCTCCAACTGACCGTCCAGCAGAACCCCGAGGATGGGCTGGAAGTCCTCACTTGCCACCTGCCACAGTGCAAAGGCCTCTCGGGGAGTCTCGGGGAGCAGGCGCAAGAGGAAGACGACCGTGTGCTCTGGGGGCAGGGTGGCCAGGTGGATGTCGCTGTAGGGAACAGGAGGGGCACCGCAGGCCCGAGAGGAGGTCGGACCCTGGGGACCGAGAGCAGGGTCCTCGGGGCCGGGCTGCGGAGTGTCAACAGTGGAACTCCCCTCTCTTCATGGCCTGTCGGGTCTCAAGGGGAGCAGCTCTGAGACCCCTGTGATGGCCCCACAGGGACGGGAGGCCATCGCTTGGCACGTGCTGCTTCTTTTCCCATGCCCTTCCCCCACATTCTCTCCTCATAGCTCCTACTGTCTGCCACCTCCTGGGAGCCCTCCACTCTTTGCAACCCCAGAGTTGCATTTTGTATTTTTCAAGTTCCTATCAATATTATAAAGCACGTGATTTACCTTTGCAATTTAAAACACTTTAACTTAAGAAAAATTATGCTATGCGTGTGGAAGTTCCAATGTGTGTTAAAGACACCTCTGTATATGAAGTGGGGTGATTATTAGACATCGCAGGCCATACCAGCCATGGTCATGGTGAGTCACAAAGCAGTGGCTTCTCACAAACCCTAGATATGTGCAGATTTGCAGGATCAAATTAAAGCACACAGGAAGCTGGAGTTCTCAGGGAGACAAAGGTGGTGGCCCCTGCCCAGAAGTGCCACCTGGGCAAAAGCCCTCCCATCCCACCTCCAGGGGCCTCATTCCACCCACAGGAGAGTTATTAATTTGTGGAACTCGGATTCCCAGGGTCCACATGCCCCCAGGAGTCTGCCCCATTGACGCTCCCAGGGTGCCCTGCTCTCCGGCCCACCCCAGCTCCCACCTGGCCCGGCGGGTCAGCTGAGAGTCCTTGAAGAGTGTGAAGGTCCTGCTGGGGCCAAAGGCCGAGGGCTCCATGGCCACACCACGGATGGAGGCGTATTCCTTCTCCACCAGCCCGAAGGCCACCATCAGGTCAAAGCCTTGGGAGGGGGGCACCATTAGACAAGAGGGAAGGTGGGGGTGAGTAGGAGGCAGAGTAGAAAACCACATGTCTGGTGAGAGGAAAGTGTGGGAGCCACAGAGACAGTGCAGGGATGTCGGCCCTCAGGGGTCTGGTCCCCCCTTCCCTCTATCCTGGATTCAGGAAGGACAAGCAGGGAGCACCAACCTGGCCCTTCCATGCCCACAGCCGTCACCTCCCCACGAGTCTCAGTGCCCAGACCCTCGCCCGTCCCATTCCCACTCCCACCCCAACTCAGCCGGCCCTGCAGCTGGGTCTGAGCAGCTGTGGACATCCTTCAGGAGACCCAGGTACCAAGATATGTCCCCCGCCCTTACTACTCCCACTGCCCCCAGCTGGCAGATCTACCTGACCAGGTGGGGCCCACATGTCAGCCTTCTCTCTGGGAAGGGTCTCAGACCCACAGCAGTAAAGATGTGATGCTGTGGACCCAGGCTCAGCCCCTCGCCCGCCCACCTCCTGGTCAGCACAGGTTCACAAAGGTCACACAGGACCCATGGCCCCCAGCATTGCCTGACCCCAAACCCAGGCCACCCTCCCCCAACAAGGACCCAGAGGAGGAAGTGTGGGTGGGGGCTGGCAGGGAGCGGCTACCACAACAGGGTGGGACCTACCTGGGAGGGAGCCGTCCAGGTGGAGGGCCGGGCAGGCTGCTGAGAGGGGACACAAGGGCAAGGGTCAGCGGGGAGGGGCCCCTTGTAGCCGGATGCCCTGCCCTGTGGTTCCCACACTTCAGGGATAGGACAGGGACAGTGTCCAACCCCAGGAAGACAGCACCCGACTGGGTGCTCTCACAGGGTCTGTGTTGAGAGGTGAGATGCCCTAGGTGCAGGCCAGGGGAGATCTGGGTGTGTGGACATGCCTGGGTCCACACCATCCTGGGGCTGGGCTGAGCCAGCCTGCTCCACTTCCAAGCACTGTGTGGACACTCTGAGTGTTCACGTATGAGTGTGGGCAGGAACTGAGACTCTCGGGGCAGGAAGTGGCTCCCTGCCACCCAGAAGAGGAAAGGTGCTGAGCCTTGGGTAGTGAGGCCCCTGTCCCCAGAGGTATTCAAGTCAAAACTGGGCAACACCATGGAGGGGACACAGAGGAAAGCTGGGGTGGTTGGCCGAGGGCCTTCTGCTCTGAGCATCTGATTGTCGAGAGAAGCAGCAGGAATAGCAAACAGAAACTGAGGCTCCTCCCAGCTGGGTCCTGGCCTGGGAGTGGTGGGACCTCAGGGACCACTGATACCCCGAGGGCAGGGCCAACCCAGAGTGGGCCCTGGGCTATGCTGCAGCCACCCCGCCTATGGCATGCATCCGGTTTTCCACTCCTACAAGCTGCACATCTGCCCTGCACCTCCTGGACACAGACCCAGAAGAACACCGCCCATCCCCCAGCCCCGGGCCTCTGCAGGCTGGCCACAGCCACAATGCCCTCCATGCCAGCCTGCACGTGCTCAACTGGACTGCAGTGGCCTTAATCCTGTACCGGAGGGTCTCTCACTAAGCTCTGCAATGTGGGGTACATCTGGGAGTCACAGGGCCCACACATCCTGGCTGCCAGGGTCCTGGGCCTGGCAGGAATCTGCTGGGATCTGGGATCTTGGTGCCCATTCACCCGTCCGGCCGGTAGCAGACACTGCCACGCTCTCCCCTGCTCCATAGACGGCTGAGACCAGGACCCGGTACTTGGTAGCCGCCAGCAGGTCAGGGATCGTCACGTGGCTCCCAGGTCCTGGAATGGAGATCTGGGTGGGGGCGGGGTGAAGGTGGTCACATGAGCGTTTCTGCTAGTGTGGGCATCTTGGTCCCCTATCTGTGGGTCCCGCAGTGGAAGAGTGGCCTCCTAGACAGGCAGGATGGGACGTGGCTCCCCAAGCCCAGGATCTGGTGGCCCATGAGGGGCGATGGCGTCCCTGGCTGCAGGGAGACCCACCGACTTCTCAGGTCCGGAGCCTGAGGCCAGCGCGTAGGAGAGCCGGTAGTGGAGCACGTGGCCGCTCGGGGGCGTCCAGCTGACCCGCAGGCTGTCAGGCGACTCTGAGGCCAAGGCCAGGTTGGAGGGTGGGCTCCGGCTAACTGTGGGGGAGCAAGGGGTGTGGGGCACCACAGGTGGCAACACCCCCTCCACTCTGCACCATGCCCGCCACCCTCCCACTCCCCGGCCCACACCATGCCCACCACGCTGCCCAGTGGCCCTGGCCCAGACAGGGCCACCAGGTCAGCTGTGGGACCACCTTGGGTGTGGTGTCACACCACGTGACCTGGACCCTTGGCCACCCCAGGGATGCCTGCCTGGAGGGCTCAGGGAGGCCCTGTGGACCCAGTGGCCCACTTGCAGGGTCAGGACTGGAGGGGCTGTCTGTCAGGCCCACGGACTGGGGGGTTCTGGGGCAGAGCAGGGTCACCTACCAGGGGTGTAACGGAGGGACACAGGGTCGCTGCGGGCCCCGTCCCGGTAATAGGCCAGGATGGTGATCTCATACTCTGAGTGCCTCCCCAGGCCAGGCAGGATGGCCGTGCCCAGGTTCCCCGGGACAGAAATCTGTGGAGAAGAGGGACTGCTGTCCACCGGGGGGAGGTGTCCTTCCCTGGGAGCCGGGTTCATGGGAGAAGCTGGGGAGGGGAGGGTCCGCTGCCCCCACACCTCACGGGCCTTCCCCTCTCCCAGAGGCGTCCACGTGATCTGGTAGACGAGCACGCCGGACACCGCCGCGGCCGCCCACTGGAGCCGGACTTCGTCCCCAGGCAGTTCTGTCACCGACAGCTGGCTTGGGCTGGGGACTTTCCCTGGAAGAGGGAGACAGAGGCTGGGGTGGCAGGGGCCCCCAGTCCCCACTCACTGTGCCTGCAATCCCCTTTCCCAGAGTGGGCTGCAGGCTGGGCACTGGTCCCGGGCTCCACCATCACACCCGTCCAGGTACCCGCCCTCACCTGACTCGTGTTGCTCTGAATCACCCAGGGGAGCAGAGGGAGGTGGCCTGGGGACCCCACCCCCACCGCCACTCACGTGTGGTCAGGCGGCCGGTCAGGGTGGAGGAGCGGTCCCCAGGGTAGAGGCAGGTGACGCGGACCGTGTATGTGGTGGAGGAGGAGAGGGGGCCCAGGGTGGCCGCGGTGGCGTTCCCAGGAACCTCCATCTGTGGCGGGGGGGCGGGGGGGCGGGGGGGGCGGACACAGGCAGCTTGAGGGGGGCAGCTCCTGCCAGAAGGAGACCCAGGCCTGCCCCACCACCACTCCCAGACTGGAGAGAGGGGACCAGGAGCGGAACCCGGGGCCCTGGGTGGGGTCTTGCCCGCTCCCCCAACACGCCGGTGTTTTTGCCTCTCAGGGCCTGCTCCCCCAGCACGTCCCGTCAGGCTTATCACGTGTGAGGATTCTTACAATTCTTTGCTTCACTTCTGCCTCATCCCCCCTGACTTGTACTGGGGCGCACAGGGGCTGGGGTGGGGCCAGCTGCCTTCCACTCCCCCTACACTGCTGAGGCTGAGCCTGGGGGAATGCGGCCACACCCACTGACCCTGAATTCAGGGGGCCCAGTCCTGGAGGCCGAGGGTGCTGGTCCCCGTGAACAAATCACCCCCCTGGACGTGCAGGCCTGCCCTCACCTGTCCCGAGTGGCCTCCCTTGCCAGAAATGTAGCTGACCCTGAACAGGCGCACAGGTCTTGCGGTGCCCTCCCAGGACACGCGGGCTGAATCATGGCTCACTTCCGAGAAGCTCAGGTGTCTGGGGGTGGCCAGGGCAGCTGCAGGGCACACCAAGGCCTTAGGACTGCCCCATGGGTACCAGGGAAGGGCAGGCGACAGCCGGGGTTGGGGGACTACTGGATAGGGTTGGGATCCCCCACCCATGGAAAGATGGGGGGAACCAGAGTAGGCAGCAACCTGCAGGATGCACTCACGGGTCCTGGCACGGATGCCCCGGGCCTCGCTGGTCTCTGCCCCTCGAAGGCTCTGCACCCACACCTCATAGTCCCTGCCCGGGGCCAGGCCATCCAGCAGCACCTCCGGCCGCCCCACCCGCACCTGCAGGGACACACACGCTGGCCCACCTGTGCTCCCCGCACCCTGCCTGCCCCCTTCCCCCCTCCCCTATAGCCCTGCCCCCCCCCGTGCCTGCCCCCCCCTTCCCCCCACCCCGTGCCCCGCACCTCTCTCCTCTCCTCCTCGCCCTTGGGGGAGGCAGGTAACCACCGCACCAGGTACTGGGTGGCCTCTGCCGAGGGCTGCCAGGTGAGGCGGACAGTTTTGGGTGTCACTGCAGCCAGGGTCAGTGCCTGGGGTGAGGGCAGGGGTGCTGGTGGAGACGGGGGCAGAAAGTTTAAAAATGCGGCAGCAGGCAGAAATCAGACCCATAAACCAGTGGGAGTTGGGGGAGGATAGACAGCTGTCAGTCACTTGGTAGGCGCGGGCTAGGTGTGTCCTGATGGAGACACAGAGAGGGGAAGACCAGCAGGGGTGGGGAGGACAGACGACTGACTGTAAGTCCCGGAATTGATTTCACCCTGGACCACTCCGCACGTTTCTGTTAAGGCCACCTGCCCTGAGGGTGGGAGGGCCGTGACCTGGGGTTAAGAGGCCACAGCCTGTGTGGTCCCATTTAGATGGAGGGTCCAGGATCCGCAAACTCCAGAGAGAGCAGATCAGGGGTTGGTGGGGACTGTTGGAGAGGGGAGGATTGGGGTGACCACTAAGATGTGGGGCTCCCTTCAGGGTGAGGGGTGCACAGTGCTGGGACTATATGGAAAACCAGAGTATCACCCACTGTGAACAGGTGACTGGGGGGTGTATCTCAATAAAGCTGCCAGGTTGAAGGGGGGGTGGTCTCACGCAGTCCCGGGGAAACCACAGCCCAGGCAGGGCGGGAGCTCCACAGTGTGGCAGCAACAGTAATGGGTCCCTGCTGTGTTAGGGTCATGATACAAATGATGTCACTTGTGCTCAGAAGAGGACACTAGGGTCACAGCGGCCCAAGGACTCGGCCTTTGTTGGATGTGGTACCCTGCCTGGGTTCAGACCACCCTTGAGGGTGCAGGTGGGGGAAGCCCCTACAACCCTGAGCCCACACACACACACCTGTGGTTGCCAGGCCCTGTAGGCCCTCGCCGACACCGGCCTTATAGATGGGGAACACAGAGACCAGGTACTCAGTGCTGGAGGTCAGGTTGTGCAGCTGCGCTGACGAGGTGGGCCCTTCCACCACCACCTGGAATAGGAGTCGCGAGGAGCAGGTCGGTGGGGTGCAGGGGAGGAGGCAGGGGTGCTGGGTCAGCCTTCACTCCCGGCACAGCTGTGTCCCCAGAGCAGGTCTGGGCCATCAGCCCATCACACAGGCGTGAGCACAACCCTGCCATCCACAAGTGCATGGGGCCGTGGTTCCATAAACCCCCTGCACCTGCTCCTCCTTCACCTTGATTTTGTCACCGGTGGTCGTTACTCCAGCTCCGCCTGCGGTGGGGGCGGCGGTGGGGAGAGGGGGGAGAGGGCGGTGCTCACCTCCCTGGGGGCGCCGCCCTTGGAAGGCCTCCACACAATCAGGTATTTGAGGGGCGGCTGTGGGGCTGGGCTCCAGGACAAGAGGACGCTGGAGGAGGTCACCTGGGTCAGGACCAGCCTGGTGGGAGCGGGAGGGGGGTCCACGGCCGGTGTAGCTGTGGGAGGAAGGAGTCCAGGCCCAGGGGGCGGCTGGTGTCAGTGGCTCTGCCTGCGCCCCCTGGCGGCCACTTCCGGGAAGGACAGGGGCTCCCCAGTTGTCCTGGGAGCTCTGAGAGCCTGGTGGGAGGGGACCTGTTGGGGCGGCAGCTGGTGTGGCGACCCTGCCCCTGTGCCAGCCCCGTCGCTCACCTGGACCCCCACGCGGGCTCCTGCCCTGGACCTTCTGGCAGATGAGCCGGCTGAGCAGGCCGGAGAGTGTGCTGAGCTGGGGGAAGTCCTGCACGTTGTGGACGGTGATGTCCAGCGGCTGGGAGGCCAGAAGCCTCAGCTCGGTTTCATCAGCATTCTTCACGCCTGCCGCAGGGTTGGGGGGAGGGTTAGCTCACCTAGCACCCTTGTTTGTTGTACAGTCAGGGCCACTGGGCCCCTGCTGGTCACCCAGTGGGCAGAGGGCCCTTCCCAAGGACCCCAGACCCCACAGGCCCCGGAACGGGGTCACCTGGCCAGGTGCCCATGAGAGACAGGTTGGTGTGAAGGTGCCTGTGGCATGCCTGCCCAGGTCTCTGTGGAACTTGCAGCCAGGAGAGAGGTCAGTGTGCTTTCCTCGGGGTCCTGCTCACCCAGGGGCTGGGGTCAGGCATAGAGCAGGGTCTCTGCTTCCAGGAACCCTGCCCCCAGGTCTGGAGGTCCCTTCCAAGGGATGGAGTTAATGACCGGCTGGCTATGGGAGCAGAGCGAGGTCCCCAGGGCACATGATGTGGGGAGCAGGGAGGGGCCACAGACACGTCCACAGGTGACATTGCCAACTGGCCACTTCACTGGGGAGTGGCCAGGCTGCCCACACCAACTTGTGTGGCCACCTCCGATTGTCCGGGTGGGATTCAGGTCTTCAGAGCAGGGACTCTTTCTCCCATTCACAGATGGGGTGGGGGGCGGGAGAGGGGCTGAGGCTCAGAGGCCACAAGACCTGCAGCCTGGGGATGCATGCTTATGCATGCTGTGAGAATGCCCACCAAGAGCCCGGGGGGGAGGAGCTGCTCACCCACAGCAAAGATGTCAACACCCAGACCCTTGAGCACATGGCCAGCAGCGTGGGCATCGTCCTGGGACTTGCCGTCCGTCACCAGAATCACCAGCTTAGCTGCCTCTGGACGGAGACCTGCTCTGGGCTTCAGGTTCTGCTCCAGCACGTGGGTCAGGGCCAGGCCTTGGGCACAGTGAGCGCAGAGTGCTGGTGCCCCCACGCACTCTCCCTGCCCACCTGCGATGGCTGCACCAGCCACTGGCCACCGGCTCTTCCCACCAGGGCAGTCCTGGCCCCTTCAGGCTGCGGGCACCCAGAGGGCAGGGACGCCCCCCTCCTTCCCTCACAGGCACCTGAGACCCAGGGGCTGGCACCCCATACCCTGCTGCTGCAGGATGCACAGGGTGAATGGGGATCAGGGAAGGAATTGTGCTATCGGGGCATGGTCTGCCTGGGGGAGACCCCCTGAGGAGGACTGCTGACAGCAGGGCTCTCCTGAGCCATTGGTGGTCCCTCCCAGGAGCCTCTACTGACCAGAGGAGCCACTTGGTTTCAGCAGGACTGCCTGACTTGCCACGTTCACCATGGATGAACGAGGCAGACTGGCCCTCTGCAGAGGCATGAATACACAGGACTCGGGCGTGGTTCACGCACGCCTCTCCTTATCTGAGGGTTCAAGGGAGACTGACCATGGGACAAGACCTGAATGGACCTTGAGGGTGGGGCTGAGGCTGGGACTGGGGCCGAGCAGACCTGTGAACGTGTTTCCTCCTCTGTAGCGGAGGTTGTGCACAGCACTCAACACCTCCTCCTTGGTGCCAAAGGCATTCAGGTCCCACTCGGTCTGGGGAGCTCCACTGTACTGAGTCAGGCCTGGAAGGGGAGGGGACCCCACTCTACTGAGTTATACTGGGAGGGGAGGGGTCTCCAGTATACTGAATCAGGCTGGGAGTGGGGGGGGGGTGGGCACACAGCAGGTGGGCAGGACACACACAGCCTTGCCTGGGTCACAAGGAAGGCATGTTTGCAAAGCCCCACTTTCCACACAAGTTCCCCCTGGGAGCTAGCTGTCTTCCCAGTGCAGGTGGGGACCTCAGTTTTGCCTGGTTGGGTGAGAACTTAGCCTTGATTCCTCCCTCACTTGGCACTTCCTTCTCCAAACTGGGGGTAGGGTATAGAATTGTGAGAACCACCCCAGTGGGGCACAGGGCAGGGCTGGGACCCACCTACTTGGACTTTGCCTGGCCCAATTTCAAAGGGCTCGATGACGCTGGCCAGGAAGTCTTTGACCTGCTGGAAGTGACTGTGGCCTATACTCCAGGACCCATCGACCAGGAAGATCATGTCTGCAGGCGTGGGGGGAGTGCAGCGGAACTGGGGTCTGCCTGGGGTGGGAGGGGAGGGAGGTGAGGTGTTGGGCAAGGTCATCACTGCTACAGGAGCCTGAACTGCCTGTGGCTCGGCTCAAGTGCCCAGGATCTCCTTCCCTGGTGTTGGTAGAGGGGGAGGAGCTGCAGGGCTCTGACTTCAAGTGAGGTGGGCAGCAAAGTGTTGGGGGACAAGTACCAGGGTCTCACCAGACTTCGAAAACCGCATGTGAAGCTCAGCCCATTGTCCCAGCCTCTCTGAGTCCCCCCAGAGGGGGTTCATAGGACATCTAGTTGCTCTGGAACCTTCACCCTCTATTGACCTGGCCAGTGTTGGTCACTGTGTGATTGTCCAAGGGGGGTTGCACCTTCCTTGCCCACCAGCTCCCAGGATCAGCTGGCAGAGGCTGTCCAAAGGGGAGTCGACTGGGGTGAGTCAGCACCATGGACAGCGCCAGGTAGCCATCCATTCTGCCAGCTCTAGGCTGAGGCCTCACGGTGTGAGGGGTGTGTGTGAGGGTTGTCCTAAGGACCAGGAGCTCTTTGGAGACAAAGCCACGCCCCTTGATCTGGGGCTCCCAGAGCTGTGCTCTGTGTCCCCAGGCCAAGACCCAGAGTCAGGGCCAGACCCCTTCTTGGAGGCTCCTGGTGGGGTTGGTGTGGTGAGACCCTCACCGAATGCAGGAGGCACCCTCTGACCTCAAGGCCCTGCACTGTGGGGCAGATCACCCTGTAAGACCCCAAGTCCATTGGGAGACAGTGGGAGGCCTGGACCCCAGGACCCCACATGAAGTCTAAGAAAGGAGGTGTCTTCTTCAATTCCAAGTCTGATGCGAGAGACAAAATCAGAAACTTCCCAGGTCTGGTGGGGGAGGCACAGCTCTGCCTGCAGGGCCTCATGGGAAACTCTGTGCTGTGGTCCCGCCCTCAAGCCCACAGATGCTGGCATCCCAGCCGTCTCACCTGGCTCCCCTCTCCCTCCAGCCGAGGTCCTGGCTTGGTTCTGCCCCTCCAGATCTTGAGTGGGCTGAGCAGGCCCCTCCCCTGTGGGGTCCCTGGGTGGGTGCTGCTCCTCGCCAGGTACTCCTGGGGGGGAGTCACAGCTGTGTCACCCCTCACCAGCCACACTCAGGCTGGGGGGCACCTGAGGGAGGTCGAGGTAGTGGGACCAGGCACTGGGGCCCAGGGACATTCCCAGCAGATGAGCTGTCCCAGTGGGTTAATGAAGTCAGGAGCGGGCAGCCAAGCTTAAGTACAGGAGTGTGAGGGCAGATGGAGGGAGGACCTCCTGGCCATGTGGAAACCGTGAGGCACTGAAGACTGCCCCCTATTCCCAGGCACTTACCATCACCCGACTTGGACCCACCAAGTGGGGGCGGGTCTTGGCTTGGGGCCAGGGCCCCGGGGGGCTCAAGGTCTGGGCTCCCCACGTGGGAGGGGGTGGGCTCCAGGGTTGCCCCCAGTGGCCTCTGGCCGCTCCTGCTCATGGAGTTACTCTTCAGATCCTTGACTATAGAGAGATGTGATGGGATATTAGGACTCCACTGACCGGCAGGGGGGATAGAGGCCTGAGGGCTGCCCACACAACCCTTCCCACAAAGGCCCATCCAGGCTCCATGGGCTCCCAGCCTCTTCTGCACACATGCACCCCCAGGGCACTTACTCACAAACTCCCTGCGAGCCAGCAGGACGTTCCCTGAGCCAGTGAGCTCGAAGATCTGCAAGGTGTACCCCTTGGAGGGGCTCAGGCCCCCCACAGTGGCCTTGGGGGTCTTGGTGGTCAGCATCACCTCCTGTTCTGGGTCCCCTGGGGCGGGGGTGGGGAGAGGGAGCAAGGTGGCTGAGGTGGGTGGTGTCTGCATGCATGTGTGCACTTATGCCAGCAGGTGTGCATGTGTGTGCATGTGTGTTGGGAGTGGTGAAATCTGCCTGGCACCCCCTCTTCCCCTCCCCTAGTTCCTCCTTTTGGGCCAGGGGAGGGAGTAGGGGGAGAGGTCTGTGCGTCTCTCTCTAGGACCTGATGGGAGTGGCCTGTGCTCCTCCCCAGAGGGACTCATCTCAGGGTCCACTGGAGGATCCATAAGTTCTCCAGGTGCCATCAGAGCAGCGCTGGGGACACCATGGAGGTGTCTGTGCAGACAGGGCTGCACGTGGGGAGGGGCCTGCCGCCTGTGCACAGGGGCTGGACAGCACATGGCAATGAGCCTGTAAGCACGTCCCAGTGTGACTGTGAGTCTATGCTAAAAACAAAGAAACAATTCCAAGGGCATGCTGCCGTGCTCTCAGGGGAGGCGGCCGTGGAGGCAATAGGAGCGACTGATCAGAGGTCAGGAAGCACCTGGCAATTCTTGGACCTTAGGTGCTAGAAAGGGGACTAAAAGAGGAAGGACCCACAAGCCTGCCCATTGTCCAACCTCCTGCAAGGTGGACAGCCCCCAGGCTGGGCCCAGCCCTGCATGGGGAGGTGGGACAGGCCAGGAGGGTGAGGTCCCAGGTGCTTCACGTGACTCAAGCTGAATAATTTTCACAAGCCCCCACCCATTTTGTAGATGGAAAATTGAGTCACGCAGTTGCTTGGAATCAGGATTTAAGCCCAGGTCTGCTGGGTTCCTGCTGCCTGCCAGGGAGGGATGGACAGGCAGGCCCTCTGAGGAGTGCATCCTTGGCACATCCCCCTTATTCTTTGGGGTTGAGATCCTGAAGAGCTCCACCCAGGAGCACGGGTTTCTGAGGACAGGTCAGCTCTTGAAACAGCTGAAGCCCAACATCAAACAATCTCAACTCTTAAAATGGAGCGAGTCTGCCACTCGGGCTCGGTACTGTCAGGGTCCTGAGAGCTCTAAGCTGGGGGAGGGTCCTGAGAGCTCTGCAAAGTCATTGACCACCTTCTGCATGTGCCAGGTGTGGGGACACACAGTGGGGACATTAAGGGCCCTGTTCTCCCACCACAACCTCCCTGTGCTAGCGGGGAGACAGCGAGGAGGGAGGGCAGAGCCAAGGGGAGCCAGCACAGTGACCGCTGTGCTGTGTTCGCCATCGGTCCGCACAGAGGCGAGGGTGGGCCCCTACCTGCCCTGGGCTTCACCTGCACCAGGTAGCCGAGGCTGCTCCCCTCTGACTCTCTCCACTTCATCTGCAGCCGGTCCTCAGGCAGCACCGCCAGCCTCAGGCGGCCACTCGCTGGGGAAGCAGGACAGGTGGTCAGGACTGATCCTCCTTGGTGACCTCCCCAACCAGCTGTGGGGCCCCATCCTGAGGTTCCGAGGAGGCTGTGGCCCCACCGGGGCTCAGAGGGGACTCCAGTTCCACTGGGGGGAACTTTGAGAAGAGGAGCCCACCTCCCCACCGCCAGGGTTGGAGGGGGACTGGTCCCCCTCGCAGTCCAAGGCTGCCAGGCAGATCTGGGTGGGGGAGACTTCTGTCCAGAGAGGCCCCCTGGCTCTATTAGGGGTGCCCCGCACCATGGATTTAGGCTCAGGCCAGCATCCCAGAGTGGTCCTAACTGCCCACCCACCCAGTGGAGACACAGGCTCTGAGCCAGCAGTGGCCACCCCTCCCAATTCCCCGCCTGAGTCCCCGAAGCGCAGTGGAGACATAGTTGCAGACCCCCTGCTGCCACGGTTGCACAGCCCAGGAGGTGGGGGTGCATGGGGGCGGCGGCCCCCTGGGGCGGGTGCCCTGGCCATCCTGGGAGGAGGAAGGGGCCATGGAGGCCTGAGCCCTCCGGCATAGCCTGACTTCCAAGCTTCCGGCAGCTCCTTGGTGTGGGTGACTATTTTTGGAAAGTGGGGACAGAGATGGGCTTCTTCTGGCTGCCCCCCTCACAGCGGGGGCACAGGGGAAGGGCAGGGCTAGGGGGAGCCCGTGGCAGACACAATGGCCGCTTCAGAGCGGGGAGCAGCTGAGCTGGGCCTCCGGATGGGCCCCCTGCTCCTTGGAGCATGAGCTGAAAGGCAGGAATGTCTCAGCAGTGAGGGCCTTGAAAAGACGCTTGTGAGTGGGGGGCCCGGCTCATGAAGAGCCTCTGTCTCCCTGCACCCCTGACGTGTTGTGGGGGGGGCATCCCGAGCTGCCTTCTGGGTCTGTAGGTCGGGGCCTTGGCAGGCACTGGGGAGACAGTACCCAGCCAGGGGCGGCCCCCACAGGGCCATTCTCGGGGAAGGGCAGCCTGGATGTATGGGTCCCACCCCCATCTTCCATCCACCCCCGCCTCGCCGCAGTCCACCCAGAGCCTGCAGGGGTGGACTGCACGAGGCCCCTGCTGTCTGCGTATGAGTGTCTGGGGTTCCTTACTGACTCGGTCCCCTTAGGGAGATCTTGTCAGAGCCCCAGGGATGGAGGGCCCAACCATCTGTGAGCAGAATCATAGCCAGGAGGATGTGCCGCTGGTAAGAAGGTAGTTAGAGGAGCCAGGACTCCAGGCTGGGTGGCTGTGACAGGCTCCTGCTGCGCCCCTGTGAGGACTAGCTCAGTGGTCTCCTACCCTCTCGGCACCCTGGGGAGCTGGACACATGCAAGGGATGTGGCTGGGGGCGTGTGGAGGAGGCTTGCTGCATGACTCAGACACCACCTCCCAGGGTTGGTCTCTGCAGCCTTCCCCGACAGGTTTGAGCATCACCCTGAAAGGGACATGCCCCATAGGGAGCTGAGCGTCCCCTCGCTGGATGGGGGACAGCTGACCAAGGTGCTGCCCATGGCCATAAATGAGCTGAAAGGACCAGGGACCTGCTGGAGGCAGCGTCTTGGGCTCTCCTTGGGGGTGAGGGGAATATCACTTTTCACCCTAGATTCTGTTTTTTGAAAATTTCACAATGAAAAACATGTCTAGAGAATGATGAAAAAAAATCACCAATGCAAGAGTGAATCAAATGAGTAGTGTGTTAATAACTGTTGAAAAAACAAATGGATAATACCAAAAAAGCCCAACTAAAGGGAAAAACTGCAATGCCAAAGGTCAAGCCACAGATGAGGGTGACGCTGGGGGCAGAGCTGTCCCGTCTTCCTGTCTCTGTCCCCTGAGCACCTGAGCCCCTGGGAGCAGCAGCTGCTCAGGGCCAGAGGGAGACTGGTCCTGCAGGGGGGCCTGTACCCTGAGCAGGTATGGCCTGGGGGGGTCAGGTGGGAGCCACAGTCCCAGGAACCCTCACCCGTGTCCTCACCTTGTCCCTGGCTGAGCCCCAGGGTGACACTCAGATACAGACAGATGCCAACTCCAAGGTGAGGACGTACGCGGACGCTCATGGTGCGCAGCCTGCGGGAGGAGAAGAGGCCACTTAGCCACCTGTCTGACCGTCCATTCATCCGTCCATCCCTTCCTGATCTCTAAGCCAGAGTTTGTTCATCTTTGCCCTTGTGGGCCAGGGGCTGAGCCCCACCCAGACGCCTCCAGACACCCACCCTTCTGTCTATGGGGGCCAGTGTCCAACAGGCCTGGGGGGCTTCCTGGGTCCACAGGTCAGCTGCCCTTCACCTGCCCACCATCAGCTTCTGCATCCCATCCTTGTGATGTTCTCGACAGCCCCACATGGGGCCTGGTTTCTGCTTTGCCCACTTACTTGTCATTAGACCAGTGTGGGGTGGCCAGCATCAGGGCCGAGAGGTCTGGGGAGGAAGTGGGGGCAGGTAGGCGGTCCTGCCTGCCGCCCTGAGCAGTGTCAAGCTGGGACCCCAGTTGGAGCAGGACCCTAGCTGTACCGCCTGCTTGCCAGCCCAGGAGGAGGTGCCCTGGCCGAGAACCTGCCCGCCAGGACACCAGCCTCTCAACTCCAGAGCCGGCATCTCAGTGAGGCAGGGGGAAGCCCTGAAGGGGGACTGAGTACTGGGGGGCTCCCTCCAGGCCTCCGCTGACAGAAAAGAGGTGGACGCAGGGCAGGATCTCAGGCTCCTGGGACCCCCAGCCCAGCCACACCCCTGGCAGTGGGGCTCACAGTGTCCTTGGGCTGTGAAGGGGCTAGAGCACAAGCCACAGTTTACCTGGTGACCTTTCTGGACCCTCCTCCACACTCTGAAACCAGGCTCCCCTCCCCAGAACTCCCGTGGGGCCCTTCCGGGGCAGAGGTCAAGGCTGTGATGAGGATCCCTCGATGGTGTCTGCCCTCCTCCACCTGTGACCCTAGGGGGCCAGGCCCCACACCCACCCAACCCCATGCATCCGGTCCTGCTGCCCCCCCAGGAACTCAGCTCCCCCCACCCTGAAACCTCTCTAGAAGGTCAAGCTTATCTTCAAATCACACAACTGGAGCAGCCCCTAATAGGAGCAGCCCCTGCCCACCCAGCCTCCAGGCGAGTCACCAACCTGCTTCTGTCCCCAGGCAGCATCCCCTGGTCCTGTGTGCTCCCGTCCCACTGCAGTCACAGGAAGGCCGTGACTTATGAGGCCCCTTTCTTCGACGTCACTGCTCTGGCCTATCCCCACCCACCCGGAGCCTCCGCCCCTTCCCCACCCCCCAACCAGCTCTTCTATCTGCTGCCCAGAACATCTAAGAGCCGGGGGACACAGGCCGCAGCATGAAGGACCCATCATCCTGCAGGGTGGGGCCCAAAGTACCAAGGGACAAACACCTGTACCCTTCGCTTCACAGGGTCTGTCCCAGAGAAGCCCACGGGGGAGGCCCCTCAGGGACCAAGATCACATGTGGCCTGGGGGCCAAGCTATGAGTAATGGGAAGGGGGTTTCTGATGGCCTGGGTGAGTAGCAGCCTGGAGCAACTGGACCCCAGGGTCACACCAGCAGCCACAGCCTCCTCTCTCATCCAGCATCGCCTCCCAGGACTTGTGACCCCAAACCCCAGCCACTTGTGGGACTCTCCAGTTCCCAGGACACCCCCACTCTGCCCTGCCCAGCCTCCTCGACACCTGCCCCTTCTCCATAACCCTCCCCAGTCTGTGAGGGCCAGCCAAGCACAGCCCCTCCCAAGCCTTCTCAGCCCACCCAACAGCCTCAGGGCCTGACCCAACAAAGGCTCGTGGTGGGGGCGGGGAAAGGCACCCAGTCTAGGTCCCAAGCACTCCCCTGCTGGACCCCAGGACACACCCCCCAGAACCACCCGACTCTTAATCTGGACCAGCCCCCTCTCCCAAGTGCTCCGAGGCTGCCAGGGCCCCTCTGGCTTCAGCTTCTGGAGGCAGAGGTGCTCTGGGGGAGGCAGGCACAACACAGGGCCCTCGGGCTGCTGGCCAGCAGAGGCCACCATCCAGAGTCAGGGCTGTGATACTCGCTGGAGACTGGGAGGGGCTGGTGGGCAAATATCGGGGGCTGGACGCTGCTGGAGAGTGAGGCCCTTCCAACTCCTGTGGAGGCTCCTGTCCTCCCTGGACCCACAGCCACCGGGAAGGTGCTGCCAGCGCTCCAGCCTTGCTCCAGGTAGCTTGAGACCACTCTGGCCTCTGCCTTGCCCCGTGGTTGGTGCTCCTGCAGCTAGGAGGGGTCTGAGGACCTGAGGCAAAGGCAGTCCTGAGACCTGCCGTGGCCTGAGAGCCACCTATGGCTTCAGACTTATGGCTGGACACCACCATGGACAGCCACCACTGCAGAGCTGGTGGATGCCCTGCACTGGGCACTGGGGGTGCAGGTGGGCCCTGCCGACCCAAGTGGAGGCCAGCAGAGGGCTCCTGGCCCAGCTGCCTCAGATAGCACTGACACACATGACCTTGCACATCCATGGATCACAGGTGCTCGGGACACATGTGTACACAACCACACAGCACACCAAGGCGCTCTTGAGCCAGTCAGGTCCTCAGCACTCCCGGCCGGACCCCATCCAGCCCCCCACCTGTGCATACACCCAGGAGTCCCTGCATCCAGCAGGTGCTCCACGCACCCAAGCCTCACAGCCCACCTGGCGGGGTCAGAGCTCAGCCAGGGTTTGAGTTGCCCTCAGAAAGGGAAGATTGGAGAAGGAAATGGCAACCCACACCAGTGTCACTGCCTGGAGAATCCCAGGGACGGCGGAGCCTGGTGGGCTACCATCTATGGGGTCACACAGAGTCGGACACAAACGAAGTGACTTAGCAGCAGCAGCAGCAGAAAGGGAAGGATGGGGCCAGGCTGGCCCCTGCTGGGTGAGTCCTGTCAACCTTCCAGAAGCTGCACAGCCGTTGTGGCCCTCACTCCAGTGTACAGGTGGGGCCTCCACAGTGGGGAGGTGGCCCCAAGAACCCCAGTCCTCATGTTCAGCAAGGGGCCTTTAGGGCTGAGCAGAGCTTCCCCGGACCCTTGGGGAGGAGGTGCAGGGGGCAGGGCCTCCACGACCAGACAGCCAGCAGGAAGTCCTGCTCTGTTTTCCTATCAGGCCCAGCTCCGGGAATGGAGACCCAGGAGAGCCACCATCATCTGGCTTGCAGGCCTGTGCCTGCGGGGCAGGGCCACCATCTGGGCGTGATTACTGGACACGGTGGCAGCAGAGCGGTTCGTGTATAAAGCAGAGGCCCAGAAGATGAACAGGTCATTGGGCAAAGGTCCCAAAAATGAAGCTAAGCTGGGCAAAGACTGGCCTTGAGGTGTCTCCTGGTCAACCCTGGAGCCTTGGCAAGGAAGCCTGGGGCAGACAGGTGGCAGGGCTGGCCAGGCTTCAGCTGGTGGTTGGCCTGGCCTCCTGGAGCCAGAGCCTGGGTGGGACAGCACACAGCAGCCAGGGGCCGCAGGTAGCTGCACGGCCGACAGGTGTGCTGTCCAAAGAGGCAGAGGCCCACCTGGTCATCACAACTGGGACTCAGCTGAGAACAGGCTCTAAGACCATCCCACCAGGGACCACACCTGCCCCAAAGTGCTGCCCCGGGACAGGAGGACACAGAACCACCCAGAAGGCACAGCTCTGGTCCAGAACCTCCAGTGGCCCCAGGTGCCCAGGGTCAGGAGGTTTCAGGAAAACGAAGGCCCATCTGGCCACCTGCTGGCTGCCCCATGTCTAACCAGGGCAGGAGGGGGCAGTGCCAGTCTGTCCTTACAAAGCTGCTCTCCCAGGCAGACACCCACTGGGGACCTTTCTTCCCTTAGATGGTGAGGGCGATGCCCAGACCACCCTGTGTGTCCAGGTGCTTTGCTGTCACAGCAAAGCCCCGCGGGGGCAGGGGAGCTGGATGTTCAGGCCCTTGCTGCCAAGCCAGCCAGGACAGGGCTGACAACCACCTGGGCCCAGCGCTTCCACGGGAGCCCAGTGGTTTGAACTGAGGCCAGGAGAGCTGCCGCTCAGGCAGGGCTGCCGCAGGTCAGCAGTAGTACAGACAGGACTGGGAAGGGGAGGTGGAGGCAGCGCTCAAACCTCAGGCAATTTCTTGCAAAGAAAAAAGCGAGCAAACAGAAAGTTAAAGTCCCTTCAAGGAGAATCAGGCCTCGAGCACGTGTGGCCGCGTGCAACACTGGGAGAGCATTTATTACCGAGCTCACCGGGGAGGGGCTGGGTGTGCTGGCCCCGCAGCAGCAGGGAGCCCTGCCTGCGAGAGCACCCAGCGTGGGTTCCCTGGAAAGCGAGCACAGGGATGGAGAAGTGCCCCCACTCCCACAAGCACATGGCTCTTGGGTCTCGGCTGAGGCTGTCTTCTTGCACGTCTGGCATTTCTTGGGTGGAATGGAAAGAGGGAGGAGGCAGAGCAGCCGCTGCACCTGGCCTTGGGGCCCTACCAGTCCTGGTTGTCCCAGCCATCGTCCACCGCAGGTGGCGGCGTGGCCTTCTTGGCGACCTTGGCCCGGCCCTCCCCACCACCCCCCCAGGCCTCCCCGCCGTCGCTGTTGTCGCTGATCCTATTGTTGGACGCAGACGCAGAGCCCGAGCCCCACACATCCCAGCTGTCCGAGCTCCTCTTGTCGGCCGAGGCATCCGCGCATGTCCAGCTGTCGCTGCTTGGGGACCGGTGGGCCCTGGCAGGGTCAGCGCTCCCGAAGGACTCCCAGAAGCTCTGGTCGAGGGTGTTCTGGGAGTTGTCTCCACCGCTGTTCTGGTAGCTTGGGCCCTCCGGGGGTCTGGGATAGACAGGGCTCTCTGAGCTCCCAAAACCGGAAGGTCACCATGGGGGCCCCAAGCCACCTGGCCTCCCCTCAGCCTCTCTCCCTAGCTAAGTCCGAGCTCCAACCCAGAGTCCTGGTCCACGCCCCTCAGGGTCCTGGAGCCTCTGCCCTCCTCGAGGGCAGAGGATGCCCAGCCTCAGGGTGGCTCCACCACGGAGTTGAGGCCGTGGAACCTGCTGGAAGGACTCAGGCCGCTTGCCACCAGAGCCCACCCTCCATCAGTCACACCCACGTGGAGGATGTTTCAGAGGAAAATGTAAAATACTACTTTCCCGCAACAAATAAGGGGAAGAAAACCCAGAGACTTGACCCTTCTTTGCACAGTGGAACCAGCTCAGGATGAGAATTCCTTGCCCAACCGCAACCTCACCACTGAACACGTCCAAGAGCACTGGGAGGAAGTGGCTGGTCCGCGAGCAGGCAGACTGACAGCACCTGCCATGGCAGAGTGGCTGCACTCTGGGTTGGTCATAAGCTCGTCCATCAGAGCCCCAGGGTCCCATCCGAGTCAGAGGAGGAGAAAGCTAGCCCACCTGGCTCCTAGCAGGAAGGCCTGGGCAGAGCCCTGAGTGCTGGAGACCTTTAGGAGGTGGGTCAAAGCCCAGCGGTCCTTCCTCTCCCTCAGCCTGTCCCACAAGGGCAAGGCTGAGACCGCCCCCACCACCTGGGCAGCAGTAGCTTCCGAGGTAGAAGGCAGGGCTTCAGAGCAGGAGGTTGAGGCACCGACAGGCCTCTCTGCACCTCCAGGGCTCCAGGGGCTTCTGACTATCACCCAAGGCCCTGAGGGAGACGCCCAGCCTCTGAGATCTGGGGGAGATCTCAGAAGGAAGCCCACTTCAGGGATGGACACAGCATACCTGTCTGATGAATCCTCTGCTCTCCCAGAAAAAAACGTAGTGACATCCCGCCAGCCCCGGCTGCCAACTCCCTGGACCTGGAAGACAGTGGAAGGCAGCTCAGCCGAGCTCTGCTGGGAGCATACAGTGTCCAAAGACCAGGGTGAAGATTAGAAATGCAGTGACACCGCCAAACTCAGGCCAGTTTACTGGACAGGATCGAACGGGGACAGCGGGATGCCTGCTGTGTGGGCCTAAGAGCCCACGGCTGGGAGAGCCTGCGGAGAGGCTCTGGGCTGGGAAGCAGGACGAATGCGCCCCCACCCATAGCGCTAGGCGGAGAGGCAGGCCACCCGCAGCACACTCACCAGGAAGGTTGGCCGCAGCAAGAAAAGAATGAAAGAAAATAGCAACAGGTTAGTGGCTGGGACCGGTGCTCGTCCAGGGATTTCCATGTTCCTCAGGCTGTCAGCACCGGAGCATCTGCCTGACCCTCCTTGGTCCTACAGGCCCTTTGGACCAAGAAGAGATGCGCATGAAGCGCTGGCCCTCCCCGCTCGCGGTTCCGGGTGCCTTGGAACATGGAGACGCTTCCAGCCGAGCCCGCACGTCAGGCGGGGCTGCCCTACCTTGGACGCCAACTCAGAAAACCCACTGGACACATCATCAAAAATCTTCCCCTCCTTCACCTGGTGGATGGGAACAGCGTCGTCACAGCCCAGCAGACGCCCACTGCCTGCACTGATGAAGGCCGCCGCCCACCAGCACGGGCTCCAGGGGCTTTGTCTTTGCGCTGTCCCCTCCCCAGAAGCAAAAGGGAGGGCCGGCCGACCACCCTGCAGCCCGGGCCAGTCTCACTGGACCCCCACCCCTGGTGTTCTCTGCGTCGCCCCCTACCTCCCGCACAGGCTGGCACTGTCCTGCCCTGGCCACCCCATGTTCCCTTGCCTGTCTGGGCCTCCAGGGCAAGTGGCAGGACGCATGCCCAGCCACGCAGGAGCAGGGCGCAAGGCCAGGCCTTGCTGAGCCCAGGATGAGGGCCCACAGGCACAAGGACACCAGGGAGTCTGAGGACCAAAACAGAGCCCCCAGGAGCAACTGCCCCTCGAATGAGGGCCCTGGGAACTGAACACAGCTGAATACCAGTTCTCCCCATGTTACCTTCTCCTGGGCAGGTTTGAGGACGCTCTCATTCAGACTGTGGCCCAACTCCGACGCCTGTTATTAGGAAAGACACGATGAAGAAAAGTCACGTGCGTTTGGCGGCATGTTCATTTCAGGATGGCAAACTGCCCGTGGAGGGAAGGTGGCTGACAACACCGAGCCACTAGCACACGATGCTCCTGGCTGTCGTGGAGGCTGGGCACTGCTGTCCCTGGCCTATGGGCTCCTGAAGAGCCCCCGTCGTCCCTCATACAGACAGGGGTACCCCCAGTCCCATCTGCCCTCCAGGGACCCCCAAGGGAGCTCAGACAGAAGGGATGGAGCTGGGGGTGGGGGGAGGCCAGGCCAGGCCAGTGGTCAGGTCGGGGGCAGGCAGGACAATGGGGAGACAACCACAGTGCGGGGCCCTCACCACTAGGACCGGACTCTTTCAGATTATTCAGCTGAAGATAATTGAATCACAACATGAAAATTTCCCTGTAGACCTCAGGGTACCCCGGCCCATTGGCGTCCCTACGGCAGCCCTGAGCTCTGGATCCCATGCCTCTTGCCTGTGACCCAGATGCTCAAACGGGAGCCCATCGAATTGGGGAGCAGCTCTGAGTGTGAGCACATGGAAGCCCCAACACGCTGGCTGCAGTGCAGGCGCATGCCGGATACATGTTGGGGGGTGGGGCTGGGGGGCATGCACGAGCACAAACGGGGCCTTACCAGCTCTGGCTGCTGCTTGGAACCCCAGAACTTTACCCAGACAGCGTGGGGAGACGGGTGAGGGAAGAGAAAGAGCAAGGCGGTAGGCGCCATGGTTGCAACCTCCAGGACAGGGTCCCACGGGCACCGCACCCTCTCTTAGACCCAGCTCCTCCCATCTGACCCTCCCAGGATGACAGCAGCAGGCGGGGAGGAAGTCAAGTGAAAGGGGGGCTTAGAGACGTCCCTGAGTGGGGCTGGGGGAGCTCAGCCCTCAGGGTGGGAGGGGCCTGCATGGTTCAGAGGCTCCTCTGCCGGCCCCCAAAGCCATTACCCCAAATCCTGAACCAAGCTCAGGGCCGGACACCACACGGGGGATCGCCAGGACTGCGAGCCAAGGTTTGAAAACAAGACAAACACTGGGCCCCAACGTGGCCAGAGAAGGGAGGGCACTAACAGAGACAAGGGATGCTGTATACTTGAGATAAAAACCCCCATCCCCAGGGAGTGCTGGGTCTCCCACCCGTGGCTGCCCAGACCCGGCACATGGCCTCCTTCCCCACAAGGCCAAAGGCACAGTGGCCTCCACCTCCCAAACCCACAGGCGCCTGAAGTGACACGGAGACGTGGGAGCCTGAGAGACAATTCCGTGCAGGCCTGTGTGCGCCTGACTGCTGGTGTAACACACTCCTCCCCTGACGCAGGGCACGCGGAGGCCACCCAGCCTAGAGACCCCCACGGTGCCAAAGCAAAGGCTTCCTCCAGTACCTTCTGACTTGCCTGGGACCCGAACTTTGTCGCCTGAAAGGAAGCACAAAGAGGGTCTTCTGGTCAGCCGCCCGACACTGGGAGCCGGAGCTGCGCATCTGCAGAGACTGGATGCCCAGGCCCGTTTCCTGATGGCCACGAGGACTGGCACTCACCCCACAGTGGCTCTCAGACCCCGCAAAGCTTCCCTCCAAACCTGCTCCCCCAGGAGCTAGACCATCAGGGTAGGTTAGGGGCACCCAGGGAAAGGAAGCAGGCCCAATGCCGACTTTTGCGCTCTGGACGCGGGGCCCCCAGGCAGGGTGGGGCCGCGTCCAGCGGGCTCTGCTGTTCACTTGAGCACAGCTGGTCATACTTCTCTCCTCTCCCCAGCACCCTGGGTGCTCGCAGGGTCCCTGGCAGAGGGGCCGCTCACAGAAACTCCCGTGGGGCAGATGAACTTGTGGCTGGAGCCCTGTCAGGGCCCCTGGCTGCCCGGCCTGTGGCGTCGCAGGACGGCTACTTACGCCCTCCTTGGCCGCTGAAGCAAACCTGCTGGCTCCGGTAGCAAAGCTGCTCCAGCCCTGCAAGGAAGCCAAACATAAGCCATGTGGCAGCTCCACGCGCAGACACAGGAGGGCGTTCTTTGCACCCATGCTCCGTGGGAAAGACACAGCCAGGGGCCCCAGAAGCAGCTCAGGTCCACTCCCCGGAGATAGGCCTTCCCACCAGGCCGCAGGGGTCATGAAACCCGTTTTCCTTTCTCAGTCCGAGGTCATTTCCCCTGAGCCTCCTAAGAGAAGCCAGTCATTTGGATTAAATGCCCACTGGGTCTGTGCCTCCCGGAAGGATGTGGAGGCACCCTCACGAGGACCTGACAAAGACGCTCAGCTTCTGGGGGTAGGATGGAAGGGACACAGGGACACGAACTTCACACCCTGGGAAGCGCTTCTGAAAAACAGGCCAGGCTGATGGCCCCTTCTCCCCTGGAGCAGACTCAGCCCAGAACCCATGCAATAGGGCGGCCCTGCCAGGAGGGGCAGCCAGGCAGGCTCCACTCAGAGCCCGAGGTCTCCGGGGAAAACATGCCTTGCTAAACCTGAGGCATGTGTGTTATATGTTGTAGCCAAAGCAAGTGAAAGACAAAACACAATTGGGATTAAACCCTGTAAGCCCAGCTTTAAGGTGCAAAGTCAGTGAAGGAAAGGGGAATGGGGCCAGTGCAATCCTAGGATGGCTGGTCTCCAGGAGGCCCTGGGGCATCGGGGCCGGGGGGTTGGGATGGCATCCTCACCGAATAGAGGGACGACATGGCGCTGTTGAGGAAGTCGTCTTCCCTCTTTGGAGGCGGCACCGTGTTCCCAAACCCCACATAACGGTTCTCCTGGGCCCTGGGGGACACAGGCAACAGGCCTCCTGCTCCTGACAGCCACAGGGTGCAGAGGCACCCAGACCCAGATACCAGGTCACTGCCAGAAGTGGGACACACTCGTTCACAGGTCAGGCAGGTTCCAGGAAAGAATCACGGCCTTTCTCTCAGTGGTTTTCTCTCACTCAAGCACCCTCTTGAAGCTGCCACTCAGGACCCCACAGGGCCTGCTAATCCTGCACCCACCACACACATGGGCAGCAGCCTCAGCCACTCTCACAGTGGCCCCTGCCCCCAGCCTCCCCTGAGCCCGCCTGAAACCCTACCCTTGATAGGAGCCAAGGTCATCATTCAGCCAGTCCTCGAAAGCCTTGTCCCCAGAGGCAGTGGAGTTCTGCAGCTGGCCAGAGGCTCTGCAATGGTGGGTCAAAAGAGGCCAAAAGAGAGTGGATACATGCAAGCAGGGGTCTCTGGGAGGTGCAGTCACGCCCACCTGCTCACACCTGGCTTCTCTGAAAACTAAGCTGAGCAGAAGGCAGCTCAAGCTTAGGCTCAGCGGCTGAAGCTCATGAGAAGCAGGGGAGGCGCTGCTCTGGGGAGACGGGGGCCACAGTAGCTCCATGCTGGCCTGAGCCTGCAGGGGAGGCTGCAGGGAAACCAGGGGGATCAAGGCCACAGCAAGCACTGGGCTGCGGTCTGGAGCCCTTCTGACCAGAGTCTCACTACTGAAGGGGGAAGAGGAAGGGGCTGGGCTGAACCCAGCACGGAGCTGGCCAGAAGGCTGGACAAGTAGCTACCGGTGGGCAGAGGACAGCAGCGTCCTGGGCTGAGGCGGAGTCCAGCTCTGGGCGGGTGATGACTCCAGAGACCATTCTTTGCCTTCGGCCAGAGCGGCCACCTGCCAAGGGAACCTGGGTCAGAGAGCAGGGGTCCGTCAAGGTGGCCTGAATGCTCCTGACCGCAGTGCACTCCCTGCCCCCCACACAGCCCCTCTGGCTTAACACCACGGGCTGGCGGCTCTGCTGGGTGTGGATGCCAAACGGGTAAGCTCTTGGTCTCTGAGGTCCCCTTTTTACACCGCAAATGATGGGCCTCCCCCGGCAGGCACTGCAGTTCTCAGGAGAGTTTTAGCCACATGCACAGAGATGTCTAGACGCAGTGCTTTCCTGGAGGCTGGGAGGAAAGCCCATCCTCAGCCCAGTAAACCACAGGCCCCCCAAGTCCCCCAGGTGGGAAGAGCCAAGGCCATGCATGCTGTCTCCATGTGGACGGCACGTGGCCTCCATGGTCAGAGCCAGAGGGGATCTCTGTGCCCGTGGCTGGAGCAGCCTTCACGTAGTGGGCGGCCTGCCTCACCCGGTCCCTGAAGAGGGCAGCAGCCCTGCTGTTGTACTTCTCCTGCAGCGACCAGCAGGGGTCATAGTCCTCTTGAGACTCTAGAAACTCCCGGAACCTAGCGTTCCCGCCCGCCTTCATCTTCTCCAGCTCCACGTCCTTCCACTTGTCCATCGTGACGGAGCGGACAAAGCTGCACGGCAGAGGGCTGGCCTGGTCACCGATGCCACCCCCCGAGTCAGAGCCCAGGGGTGAAAGACGCCAACCTACATGGGGGCCCGCTCCTCCCCACCCCCGCGCACTGACCTGAGGTGAACCCCAAGCCCACGGTGCTTCCCCGAGCACTCCAGGCAGATCCAGATGCCATAGGTCACGCTCACCCACTGTGGGTTGAAGGCGCCGCACTCGAAACACACCTGCGAAGGGTGTCCAGGGGCTTGTCCAGGGGCTGAGGCAGGACCCAGGGACCCCCAAGACCCAATGGTGGCCCCAAGATCAAGAACAGGGAGGCTGGTTATGAGGCGAATGGTGACAGGGAGAGAGGACTCTGAGACCACACACCACCCAGAGAGGTTCCTGAAACCTGCGTTGGGTGTCGAGGAAACGCAGATGCTTACATTGTTTTCATCTTGCGCCCGAACTTCCTTAAGAACTTTCCTGGTTCTTGGGCTGGCCATGGTGCTGAGAAAAACAGGATTTTCCCAAAAAAATCAACCGCCAGTGCAAATAGACTACAAGATATAACCTCAAGGAACCCCAAGAAGCTGCTCGGAAGCTGTTAGGGAACAGGACAACTCACTGCAGGCAGTGCAGGGGCCCCTCACTGCGGGAACCTGCTCTCCCAGTGCAAGGAAAAGCCCAAAGCAGTGTGGATGCTGTCACGCCAATAAAGTGATCATAAGGAGCAATGTGCAGCTACTAGAGGCCGCTTACCACGTTGCATCAAGACTGTGTAATTTATGGAATGTCAGTTTCTGGTGAAGCTCCTAGCAAAGGGTTGGGCTTTATAAAATGTGCTCAGAACTGGCTGCTAAATCTCTTTTCCTGCCTTCACAGCAACATACTGGACTCAGGCTGATGGTACCTGAAGTCAGGGAGACCCACATTTTTGGTCCCGGCAACGCTCCACCCCCCTCAAGCCAGCGCAGGGAGGTTCCAGGCCTGGGGCATAAGCTGTGGTCCTGACTGACATGGGACAAGGCTGGCCTCCCAGGGGCCACCTGAAGGATGGAGGTGACAGAGAGCATGGTCAAAGCAGGGCATGGGCAGGGGCCTATGGACCTGCAGATCTGCCACAATGCCTCATGGGGACGCTGTGGGAAACAGCAGCCACACAGCCTGGGCTGAAGAAAAAAGCCATTCATGTCTTCATAGATCTCCTAGCTTCGGCCAAGTTCAAGTTCAATGGTGGCCTGTTTAATTCATGACCAGGAAAGTTGATACAGTAAGAATCAAGCCAGGGAGGGAAAGGGTACCCAGCATGGTGCTGGGTGTAAACTAACCCTAACCTGGCCGGGGTCCTGGGGCCAGAGTGTGCCCATTGTCCCTCCAGCTTCCCTGGCAGGTCATGTCCCGTCAAGGACATACAGGCCACTGTCAGAGACAGAGCCACATGCCTGGGTTGCTAGCGGTGTTTACAACCTCCAACCCTGCGCCCACTGTCTGAGAGGGGCCTGTTCCCACCAGCATCCCTGCCAATGCAACAGCATGAAAACCCAGGAGTATCTTGGTCCGCATCTGCCTGTTACCTTCAGTTACTCCTCAAGAGGAGCTGGCTTGTCCCCACAACCTGAATCTAGAATGCCAAACACTCACAGACCCACTTTTAAGCTAGGTGAAGTTAGGAAACAAATATCTGCTTTCTGCAATCCAGGGAAACAAACTAAGGGTTTGCCCAACAGACCTTTCTGCTCTGTATGTCTCTGTGCTGCTCCTGAAGGTATCGAAGGCAGACACCTGAACCCACAAACTTCCCAGGCCCCTGGCACCTGGCCTAATACATCAAGGGGGGACCCTGTCCTTATGCTATACCCACAGCAGGAAGGCAGAAATGGGTGGCCCCTGGGAGCTTTTCCCATAGAACTGTGCCTGCCCAGGGCCCCTGCTCTGGCCAATAGGACACAGGCAAACAGAAGTCAGAACTAGGGTGAGCCTGCCCTGAATTTGTAGTTGTGTAAAAGAAGGCAGAGTGAGGACTGGCAGAATGACAGCGGGGGGAAACCTGTAAAAGTGAACTCACATGAAAGTGAATGATGTGAGAAGTGAATTCACATGAAAGTGAATGACAAGAAAGTAAATGATGTGAGAAGTGAATTCACAGGAAAGTGAATGATGTGGAATGGATTTAAGAGCAACTTTTTTGCATGAGAAGACCGTTTAATTCTGTGAAATACTAACTTTAATACATGAGAAACAAATACCTTCTTTCAAAACCATAGTTTATCCTGAAAAAGAATCCAAGAACTCCTGCTTTAATACTTGAAATCAAGATGGTAACACACAGCTCTCTGCAAGAGGACGTGGTTTCAGTAAATGGTAAACCAAGACACTTTCTCAGCTCATGAGAGAAGCCACTTGTCAGACCCTAGAACACAGTTCCCTGAGTGGGAACTTCTTCAACACTTGAGATTAAAAGGGATGACTTAAGCACACCGCTTGGGGCTGTCACCAGCAACAGGGACAAATCATGCTCATCTTTGTCTGAAACCACCTACATGGAAGGACAACCGTTTCTCACCCTAAAGCACTGTTACTTGTGCACTTCTGCTGGGTGGGGAAGAGATGCCAAAGCCAACTTCAACACTAGTTATCCCCTGGACCATTATGACAGCCCCATTTGGCACAGAAACCCATAGTGGCTGGACCCTTAAGCCTGCGCCAAATGAGCACAGTTAGCTCTCACATCTGTGGCAGGCGAGAAGCTGTTTAACAGGGCAGATGAGAAACACAGTCCTTCCACTAGACGTACATAAACTGAGGGAGGATTCCAAAGTCCTCTCTCGGTTTCCTCTCCCTCCCGCAACACGGTCACCTACCGCCAAGGGGTGGCTGCCGCTCCCGATGAGGCGGCCTCTTCAACCCCGAGACGAGGATCCTTCCCTCTGAGGAGTGGAAGACCCTTCAGAACTCAGAAAGAGGCCCGACGGGACCCTGAGTCCGGACCAGGTCTTGGATCCGAAGGAGGGGACCGGGCAGGACCGGCTAGCCCTACGGAAGGGGTGCAGATGAACAAGGGCCCGTGACAGTCTCAGAGGAAAGAAGGTTGGGGATCTGGGGAGCCCTGCAGGGTGCGTGGGGGTCTGGGCGGGGACGGCCGGAGGAGGGGTGCTGAGTGGGGGGGCGTGAAGGGGGGCCGTGGACCAGCCCCGGAAGGACTGGGGGAGGGCGAGGTGGGCGCTTCCAAATCCTGTGGATGGCTGCCTCAAGGTGGGTGGGCGTCTGGCGGGGGCGGTCGCCGGGAGGGGCCGTGGACCAGCCCCAGGGGGAACCAGGACCTCTAGGTCTCGGTCGTGCGCTTACCGGACAGGGCGCTAGATCCTTTGCGCCAGGTCGGGCTGGGGTCAGGGCGGGGGTCCCGGCGGGGGTCGGGCCAGGGTCCGCCGCCCCACGAAAAGCACAGAGGATGCGCGCCGGCCTCCCACCCGGTCGCCACCCGCTTCCGGCTACGTCGCGCTTCGCAGGGCCTCACGGGAAGCCGGGGGCGGGCCGGCGGGGGCGGGACTTCCGCCCTGCCAGCTGGGCCGGAAGCGCGACCCTCCTCCGTCGCTATAGGGACGCGTTCTCCTCTGGGCTGCTGTGCCGGAGCTGATGGTCCAGCGGGGATCGCGGCGTCCTGGGGACCGACAGTCACGCTCACCGGCGCTGCCCCGTCAGGATTCGGACGGGATAAAGATGACCTGCTCAAATTAGGATGATTCATGGGCGTTTACTTAACAAGGGGGCTGATTAGAAGGGTGTGAGCAGGTTTAGGGCACCGCAGGAATTCTGCGGGAACCCAGTGCTGAAGCAGCAGAGCTGTGACGTCATCAGGCTCCAAGTGGATGGGAGAGGTTCCGACCCTGGAAGGACAGTGTTGTCCTCGACGCCGCGGCCCCAGAGGAGCTGTCATCTCTGGTTGTGGGCATGGCCAGCCCCAGGTGATCCAGTAGGAAAAGATACAGAAGTGAATACCGGCTTTTCTGGTCTCTTGCCCTCTGGTCTCCCGATTTTGCCTCTCCCACTGGCCAAGCCCACAGGTGTAATCTGAGGTAGAGAAGGGTGGGGGTGGATGTGGAGAACAGCTGGAGATGTTGCTGTTTTCTGCTAAGTCACTTCAGTCGTGTCCGACTCTGTGCGACCCCATAGATGGCAGCCCACCAGGCTCCCCCGTCCCTGGGATTCTCCAGGCAGAAACACTGGAGTGGGTTGCCATTTCCGTCTCCAGCGCATGAAAGTGAAAAGTGAAAGTGAAGTCGCTCAGTCCTGTCCGACTCTTAGCGACCCCATGGACTGCAGCCTACCAGTCTCCTCCATCCATGGAGTTTTCCAGGCAAGAGTACTGGAGTGGGGTGCCATTGTCTTCTCCTGGAGATGTTGCTAGCAGGCTGCAAAGCAGTGTGAATAGTAGGGCCCCAAGTATGGGAACTATGACTGTAGGAAGAGAACTGTCCAGACTGGTGATCTCTCTCTGGGGAGTGTAACTGCAAGTGATGTTTGGTTTTGTTTTTACTTTGTGCTTTTCTGTGTATCCACACACTCTGCATTGATCTGTGTAACTTTTGGAGTGATCCAGTTGCCTGGTAGCTCAGCTGGTAAAGAATCTGCCTGCAATGCAGGAGACCCCATTTCGATACCTGGGTCAGGAAGATCCCCTGGAGAAGGGACAGGCTACCCACTCCAGTATTCTTCAGCTTCCCTGGTGGCTCAGATGGTAAAGAATCTGCCTGCAATGCAAGAGACCTTGCGTTGGGTTCCATCCCTGGGTTGGGAAGATCCCCTGGAATAGGGCATGGCAACCACTCCAGTATTCTTGCCTGGAGAATCCCCATAGACAGAGGAGCCTGCCGGGCTACAGACTTGTAGAGTCTGATAAGACCGAGCGACTAAGCACAGTATGAACATTTTTTCTGAGGTAAAATTTACGTTCAGTGATTTACACTCAACAGGTTTTGAGAAATGCATACCCCAGTGTAACCTCCACCATAGAACATTTCCTTTACAGGCAACTACTGTTCTTATTTTTATCCCTGTTTCTTAGTTTGCCTGTCCAAGAACTTTGCATAAGCAGAATCATTCAATAAGTACTCTTTTAAATGGTTTCTTTCACTTAATATTTCAGCTCTTCATTCCTTTTATTGCTGAATACTATTCCATTCAATGAACATATCTCATTTATCCAGTCACATATTGGACAATGGAGTCATTTCTGTGTTTTGACTATTGTGGATAAAGCTGCCCTGAAATTCACACACAAGCCTTTTGGTGGATGTATCTTAACATTTTGTTTGCACAGTTACCTAGATGTAAAGTTGTTGGCCACCTCATGCGAAGAGTTGACTCATTGGAAAAGACCCTGATGCTGGGAGGGATTGGGGGCAGGAGGAGAAGGGGACGACAGAGGATGAGATGGATGGATGGCATCACTGACTCGATGGGCATGAGTTTGAGTAGACTCCGGGAGTTTGTGATGGACAGAGGC